ATGCTGGCGCAGCAGACCCCTGGCAACGGGGCAGCCAAGGCTGAAGCCACTTACAGATGAAATTCCCTTCTTCTGCCAGGCTGCTGGATTACTTTAATTGCTTGGCACACATCCCCCGGCCCCACAAACAGCGTTATCCTCAGCTGACCCTGACGCTGCCCTGGCCACCGACGCTGACCCACGGACCTGTACCCAGCACGCTGCCAGCGGCCCCATCGCCGCAGCACGACGGGTGCGGAGCCGCCCGAATCCCCCCCGTTCCCTGCGGAGCCTCACGCCTGCCTGAAAACCAGGGTGATGCGAGGGTACAGAGGTGCAGGAATCCCCTTCCAGCATCAAGGGCTTTCCAGGGAGGAGGAAAAACGGTTTATGTGACATTTAGAGAAGAGCACTTACATTCAAGTGACAAAACACCAGCATTTCTCCCTTTACAGAAAGCAACAAGTGTTCAATAAAAGCACGAGCGACCGCAACGCCACGACAGCCAGGGCAGCGTAGGCTCTTGAGGCAGTTTTTGCGAGGTACAAACGTAGGACGAATGCTGAAAGCGGAGGTTTCGGTGGCTGCTGGGGAAGCTTTGCATTTTGCAGACTTCGGGTATCTGCTGGGGCAATGCAGGGAACATGCAGAATGTAATATCAGTGACTTGGGTTTTTTTTTTTCTTAAATCAGGCCAAAAAAGCTGCCTGCTGACAGTGCAGTAGGACCTCCACTGTGCTCTCATCTCTCGCAGCACCAGCTAAGAACGGCGTTACCGACACCAGGCAGGCTGCTCCATTGCTGGCAATTTTCTTCTATTTTTTTCCCCTTTTTCTTTTCGCTCATCTCATGATGTGACCTGGTCCAGCCCATCCTTAGCGTTTCTGACTTTAAGACTGTGCTTTTAAAAACAAACCCAGCTGTTTGACCCAAGAGAAGCATGTGCCATCCAAGCAAGTACAAGCCTGTGTCCAGCACATCATCTTCCACAATCTTAGCTCTTCCCTTACTTCTTTCTCACCTACCCCAGCTCTACCCCGAGACCAGGCTCGGGCTGGAGCCTGCCCCCTCCCCCGGATTGATCCAGCCTCTCCTTCCAGCCGCAGCAGCGCACGTAACAACACGCCAAGTCAAGGAGCCATCCATTACCCCACGTCGCTGCTTCGGCCAAGTCCTTGACCATGTCACCCTCATGTTCTCTGGGATAAACTAAACAAAATGAGTAAATCCAGGGATTTACTTTATCAGGGACAATCTGATCGTTACAGTATGGCTGATGCCCATGTGCTCCTGGGCAGGGGACAGGCACAGGAGGCAGGAGTACCTCACCCAGAGCCATGCAGCAAATCCACAGCAGAGCCACGGGTGGAAACCCCAGATGTCTCAGTTCCTGTCCCCATGCCAAAAAAATCAAAACCTCCCAGCTGCTTTTCACTTGGCGCTTAACAGAACCGATAAACCAAATGTCATCAGAGTTTCCAAAAATCTAACTTTTGGGCTCTGAACAAAATAACTCTGCCTTGGCATCTGCTCTGCTTGCAAAGACGTTAGTTTGTCCCCCTACTATTACACTCCCATCTCCCTTTTGGCTATTTCTCATACACCGTTACCTGGGGAATCACGGCTCTCCCCGGATTGATGTCAGGGAGGGGACCGCCCGCGGTGGCACGACGCCCGGGATCGCTTGCTGTCCCCTCGGGACACACACAGAGCCCCCAGGAAGGGAAGAGCCTTCTCCTGCTCCAGCTTGACCCAGCTGTCCAAACCGATCCCGGCAAGCAGAGAGATGTGCTCACGCACGGAAACTCCCAGCGCTTGGAGCTGTTGGTTTACTGGGCTTTTCATTGCCTTATTCCAGTCGTACTTTCTCCTTATTTCCCTTGTCCCCGGATTTGACGAGTTCACCACGAAACCGCGCTGTCCCCCAGGACTCCTGCAGCAAGGCAGAGCAAGGCTTTTGCTAGCGTTTAAACATCAACGCGAAACCTTGCCAGCTCCCCCTTCCAGGCTTTGATCTCGGCTCCCCCGAGTCCTATTTGTGGGTGAATTTTCATTGAGAAAAAAAACAAACGTGCTTTGCTGAACGCCTGGCCACGAGCACGGGGGAAAGCCCCAGAGAGGAGCTATGAACGCCGCAGAGGGACCCAGCCGCACCTCGGGGCTGCCCATACCTGTGGAAACCAGATGTCCTAGAGCACCAGATGTCCGAGAGCATCAGACATGGACATCCACGCTCCCCCCCCGCACACCCCACTCGGCTCACAGGCGTTCGGCTTCCCCGGCTCCGCGAAGGAGCAGGGCCAAGGGACGCAACGGCCAACGTTCATCTCTTCGCGTCGCGTAACTGGGGAATTTTCAGCTAGCGCCGTTCTGTTGAGAACGACCGTGGCATTTCGGCAGCACCCTCTCCCCATTATCAAATTAGCAGAAAAGATCCATTTCATGGCTCTCACTAATGAAAGCAAATGCCCAGACCAGCTCCGTTGCTTAACATGAGCCTGCCACCTGCTAAGGTATCCATTCAGTCCCAGCACACAAGTATCACTTCTATTAGATACCTTTTTTTTTTATTGTTATTATTTTATTTTACTCACAAGTAGTCTGCTTGCTACTATTGAAAAAACTTTTGATGAAAATTAGACTTTTTACAAGCATATTTGAAGCACCGCCAAGGCCAGCGATGACAAAGGATGGGGGGGATGCCACGGTGCCCGCGGGGGCGAGGAGCTCTGCTCCCGCCAGCGGCAAATGGGGGAAATCTGTGGGAAATAAACAGAACAGATGCAGCTTTTACAGGGGAAGCACAGAGGGTGGTTTAGATGGACAATTTGAACACAAAATTGCCTCTCATACAAATTACCGGTGCATTAGCAGAGGATAAAGGCAGCAACACCAAAACCAGGGAGACAACCCCAGCATAATTTTCCCAGTAGCGTCACATATAACAGTGAGACTACAAACCGCACATGGGTCAAG